AATGGGAAGCCGAGAGCTACCTCGACATCACCCAGGAGGTATATAGTGCAGAAGCATGCAAGCGTAGACATGACGCTTCTTCCAAGATGAAACGCCGGGGCGCCGTGTTCTTGTATCTGTCGGGAGCAACAACAATCACATGTGCTCATTGTATCGTCCCTTGAGTGTTACGACGTATTGTAGGCGCAAAGTCACTTCGTGTTGTACAACCAGCCGTGGAAGAACACGGGAACGTCCACGTCTCAGAGAGTGTCGACACGGCGATGAAAAAAACTCCCTCGTACCCACCTCGTACGTGGAACGTAGGAAGCCTTTGCACCTACTTAAGCGTTAGGTATTTCTGAACGGTTAACCTTTGCCTCTTATTTGCATAGGACTCGCTCGGTGTATTCGTGTCGCTCTCAGAAGAACACACGCATGGTTTCTTCCCGTTTCCTGACGTCATCGCTCGCTGCAATCCGCGTTTGTTTTTTGCGTGTTTTGCACGTGCTGGGAAGAGCGTGAGGGAGGTCATGGAGGCCCGCGTCAAGAAGGCCGCCAGCATGAACTGCGACGCTGTCGAGCCGAACAACATGTCTGTGAGTCAATACTGCCGACAAGCCCTTGATTTGTTGGTTCCCCCCCCCTCCGTGTGTGTAGCAGTATACCGCTGGCGGCGTGGGAAACCGCTACTTAAAGCCAAATGTCGAACTCGTACACAGCTTCGTACTTTTAAGCGTGTCTAGGTTCTGATAGAACAAAACGGTTTGAGCTCTGGCATCATAGTAGGAGGCAGTCTGAAAGTTGGGCATTCGTGCGCCAGAGGCATTCGAGCTTGTTCTCGTTTCATTCGCTGAACTACCCCCGCAGAACTGGAATCAGGAGAACACCGGCTTCACCATCTCGAGGGACGACCAGGTCGCCTACAATGTATGGTTTGCGTTGTTGGTGAGTACTAAAAAAACACAATAGTCCTATTATTCTAGATACTGGCCAGGACCCTCTGAGGCCCAGGTCTCCGCAGCGAGAGCTAAGGAAGGACGGGGATTACCGTGTGCGGTACGATGTAGCAGAGGTAGAGCGGGCGCTATGTAGAGCGCGATCATCACACTGACATTGCCAGACCATGATTCCGGAAATTGCGAATGATGGTGCTTCGCTAGTACCACACTTTAGGATTGTGATGCCGCCAGAAAGGCTTCAAATGTGTGTCTTTGCTACTAAATCGTAACGCCTTAGTTCTCCTGATCGCCGGAACGCCGCTTGCTTGTCTTGGCTCTTGCCTAATTATTTTCGTCTGTTGCCCCCAAGGTTCAAGCGAACGGAATGCGGGTGGGAATCAAGGACAGCTTTGAGCTCGTAGGGGACCTGAACTCGTACTACGACTTCGCCATCGCGGAGTGTCACGAGGAGTTCGAGTGCGGCGTGAGTACACGTGAACTTTAACGTCGTGTTACTGTTGCCACTGTCACTATTGCTTGGTTGTTTTCTACCTCCTACTGGTATATATATACCTGGTATGTATTTGTTTGCCTCTAAACTTGGTTTCACGATATTCGTTTTGGTTGCCCACACTTGTGGGCATGTCCTGCGTGGTATTCTCGTCTGCCCGGACTAACGCGCGCAGTCTCGGCTCACATTGAAATGTGGTTCGCTCAAGAGGCTCTCAATATAGTCTTGATACAGGCCATACTCTGAACCAAAGCAGCAAGTGACCAGAGGTGGTCGAACCCATGTGGCAGGGCAGAATGTGCTGTTAAACAACAACGGAAACTGCTCATGGTGGGGAACACACAACGTTCTTCGGGTCCAACCGCACGAAACCCACGGCGACCTCTTCTTAGGCTCTCATTTCTTCTCGTTTCTCCATCCTCCCGCGCGCACCTGACCCCCCCACCCAAACCAAACGCTCTTCGTTCTGTGAAAACAAAGGTGTACACGGTGCCGTTCCTGCTGAAGGACAAGCCCGTCTTCAACGTCGAGTGAGTGCGCCTAGCCGAGCCGCCAGATAGACGCGTCGCATGCTGTAAGATCTGTGTGTCTTTTGGCGACGATAGAGGCAAACGGCTCATCAGAGGGATACTGCGCGTGAGTTCTCAAAAGACGAGTGTGTTGATTGTGTGTGATATGCCCCAAGCCATCGGAATTCTCTTTCTAACGACATCACTAGTGTACTTTCTCGTGTTTATGCAACATACTTTGCTTGGGAGACGCCTTGTGTGCAGTGGTCCCCTGGAAGAGTACCCCGTCCTGTCAACTTCGGCTCCCTTCGTGGGAAGTCAGGAGTCCCCAAAACCTAAAGCCCCTTTCCCACCCCTTCCTTCGCGTTTCACGTTTAATTTTCCAGGTACAGCAAGGACTACGGCGTGTGTGATGAGTCCAACGCGCTCGGTATTGACACCATCTTCAAGGTGAAGGAGGAAAGAGATATAGACTGACCTTGCAAGCTGTTGTCTGCACCTCTCTGAGATCGATAAATTATTGCAGGACTATGACTTCGACACATATGCTTGTTCGACTACATTCAAGAAACCCCGCAATATCAGAGATTTACCTCAAGAATTCTTGTGAACTGTGGTTGGTTGTCTCCAAAGCGCAGGTCTCGTTTGGTTCTACACGCAAATGTCTACGTCCCGCGCCTCGTTGTACCCGGTTCCATCTATGAAATTTAATGAATGTAAGTTAAATTTATGTGTGCGACAGCTAAGGTACCCTTCTTGCCGTTTCAACGATCGAAAAACATCCCGCTCATCAACGGCCAACCTTCGTCTGTGTGCCGCCCTCCCATTACCCTTTGGTCATCCTACCTCCTCCTGCTTCAAAAGAATTTCGAGCTGGGTGCCCCGCTGTGCAGCTGCGCCGACTCGTCTAGGGACGTCGACTGCGACTCCGTCGTGGGTTTCCTCACCACGGAACCCCCCGCCCCCGCGCCAACACCCTCTACACCGACGCCTCCGGCACCGACAACCCCTCCCTCGCCAACACCAGCTACCCCTGCCCCAATTCCCGCCACGCCGACTCCCCCCACCCCAGAGCCCTCTACACCCACGAACCCTTCGCCCCCTCCCTCCCCTACACCAGAGCCCTCCGCACCCACGAGCTCTGCCCCAACTCCTCGGGCGCCGACACCCCCCACGTCGGGGGGCACCTGGGTACCCAAGGTCGGGGACACTTGGAACTACAACCTCAACACTCCAGTGGACACTGACGTCGACGCGGATGTGTTCTTCATCGACATGGGTGAGGAGGGTTGCCAAAAATAAGCTTCGTTCGATGCCAGAAGAAGTGGCTCGTGTGTGTTCTCGCTGCATTTTGTGCATGTTGCGGGTTGTTGGTCATGTCTATTCGAAGAAGCACAAGAACAAACGCAATATATTGCAAGACTTAACGCGTCGACTGGGATCGGGCGTGCAATAGTCGATGGCTGTCAACCCTCCCCCGCCCCCATCCCCCCTCTAGACATAAGTGGGTTGGCGCTGTTGGCAAAGCGCTGTAAAACACGCCACCCCAAATATAGCCCCCATAGTATGCGCTACCAAAGACGCGTGACGCATGGACGAGTGGAGTGAGGATAGCTGTTTACGGAAACCTCACAGGTTGAGTGATGTAGGAGATTGCCGGACACATAGACNTTTTTTTTCAGAGGTGGTGGGGGGCCGGGAAATCGAAATTTACTAGTTCCGCCGCGTTTTCGGCGAACCGGTATATGGGAGATAACTCGTCACCACCATGTCTGTGAAAGCTAAAAGTAGGTTCATTCGAAAGCCCTGGTCCGTAGCTTCGAATGGTACGTATATTTTTGGGTAAAAACCCTGGCTCCAAAGAAAAATCAATATGCCTGTGGGCGGGTCCTTGACAATTACCACTTTAGCTGCATACTGAAACCTCACATATGCATTGGTTTCTGAGTTGCCAGACACAGACGCGCTGCGTGGGGATAGCTTCATACTGATACCTCACGAGTTGAGTGATGTTGGATAATGCCGGACACATAGACGCTTTGAGTGAGGACAGACACATACTGAAACCTCAGGTGATTTGCATTGGAGATTGCCGGACACATAGGCGTGTTGAGTGAGGATAGCTACAAACTGAAACCTCACAGATGAATTGGGTTTTGAGTTTGCCAGACACATAGACGCGCTGCGTGGGGATAGCTACATACTGAAACCCCACAGATGGAGTGATGTTGGATAGTGACAGACACGCTTTGAGTGAGGAAAGACACATACTGAAACCTCACAGGTGATTTGTATTGGAGGTTGCCGGACACCTAGACGTGTTGAGTGAGGATAGCTGCATACTGAAACCTCACAGATGCATTGGTTTTTGAGTTTGCCAGACACATAAACGCGTTGAGTGGGGATAGCTGCATACTGAAACCTCACCGATGGATTGATTTTTGAGTTTGCCAGACACATGGACGGGTTGAGTGGGGATAGCTGCATACTGAAACCCCACGGTTTGAGTGATGTGGGATAGTGCCGGACACATAGACGCTTTGAGTGAGGACAGACACATACTGAAACCTCAGGTGATTTGCATTGGAGATTGCCGGACACATAGGCGTGTTGAGTGAGGATAGCTACAAACTGAAACCTCACAGATGAATTGGGTTTTGAGTTTGCCNGACACATGGACGGGTTGAGTGGGGATAGCTGCATACTGAAACCCCACGGTTTGAGTGATGTGGGATAGTGCCGGACACATAGACGTGCTGAATGAGGATATACAAATACTGAAACCTCACAGGTGGTTTGTATTGGAGATTGCCGAACACATGGACGTGTTGAGTGAGGATAGCTGCATACTGAAACCTCACAGATGTTTGTATTGGAGATTGCCGGAGACATAGAGGTGTTGAGTGAGGATAGCTGCATACTGAAATCTCACAGATGGAGTGTTTTTTGAGTTTGCCAGACACATAGACGCGCTGCGTGGGGATAGCTACATACTGAAACCCCACGAGTTGAGTGATGTTGGATAGTGCCAAACACATAGACGCTTTGAGTGAGGATGGCTGCATATTGAGACCTAACGGGTTGAGTGACGTCTGCGACTGCCGAACACATAGACGCATTGAGTGACGAAAGCTGTATACGGAAAGCTCACAGGTTGATCGGTATCGGAGATTGCCGGACACATAGACGCGTTGAGTAAGGATAGCTGTATACTGAAAATCCACAGTAGCTATAGTGAGGGGACAAGTCGAGAATGCAGTACACCCCCGACCCCCAACCCGTACCCCCCCCCCCCCTGAAAAATAGAGGCCATGCGTCCCCCCCCCCTCTACCTCCCCCAGAGAATGAGGAGGGTACAATCCAAAGTAAGCACAAGCTTACCCAAGGTTAATGCCTATTGGTACGGCAATAAAAAATATACGAAAGTCCCCCATTGGGC